CCCCGCCCTCCCAGTGTGAACGTGGAAGGATGAACCCCGGGGGTTGCAGTGACTGACAGGAGAAGAGAAGGCTTTGAGGGGCCCTCCCCGCCCTCCCAGTGTGAACGTGGAAGGATGAACCCAGGGGTTGCAGTGACTGACAGGAGAAGAGAAGGCTTTGAGGGGTCCCAGGAAGGTGGCCGGGCTGGCGTCCCAGCATGGGCCACACCTGGCTCCTCTCCAGTCCTCTCATGCCCTCCTGTTTCCCTTTGAAGATGCTGATGCCTCATCCTTTCCAAAGAGGGGTTGTATGTCTGTTTATCTCTTGCCTCCTCAGCTCAGTGGCTTCAAATAACAGCAATCATTAATTTATGACGTCCTGCAGTCTGGCGTTACCTGGGCTCAGCTAGGTCGTTTGCATTTGGGATCTCTCCTGCAGTCCCTGCTAGATGGTGGCTGGGGCTGGAGCTGTCCTCAGAGTTTTCTCCCTCACATCTTTGGTGACCAATGCTGGTGGCCGGCTGGGACCTCATGTGTGGTTAGGCAGCACACCTACATGTGGCTTCTACATGCAACTAAGGCTTCCTTGCAGTATGGCAGCTGGGTTCCAAGGGTAGCCTTCCAAGACAACAAGATGGGCCACGTGTGTGGTATTTTTATGACCTAGCTCAGAAGTCACATAGTGTCACTCCTGCCAGACTCTAGGGTCAAGTCAGTCAGACAAGTCTGCCCAGGCTTAAGGGATGGGGACCTATGACCTCTGAGGCAGGAGCAAAAGACCTCAGCCTATTTCCATATAAATAATGAAGAAGAAAGTAACTAGAAATATAACCATAGTAGTTATTAGTTATTCATAGGTGATCTTATTCATAGGTGACCTTAATTCCTTTACTAATGCCTATCAGGTCGGAAGTGTGAACCTGGGGTGACATTGTGAAATGAATGACACTAAGGCAAGTTGCTCTAAGTCCTCTGTCACGCCCGCATAAGGGCTGCTGGAGGGCGCCTTGGCTGTGCGGCAGCGCCAGCGCCGGGAAAGTGCCCGCTGTTTAGCCATCTAGGGAAGGAGACGTCCAAGATGGCCGAGATGTCGCCTTCCTGGGGAAGTTGGGAGAAAACTCCACTTCTCCAGGCTCTTGTGGTGAGGCCTGACGCTGTCAGGAGGCCCACAGACATCTGGGGCTTAACTGTCCGTATGTGACACTGTGCTTCAGCGGTCACGTTCCATGTCCACTCTCATGTTCTGCTTCTGCACCTGGTTCTGTTCTGCTTCTGTTCCTTTTGTCTTAGAAAAGATAATCAGTAATCATCATATAAATCCTAATGTTTCAGTTCTTTCTTGATACGTATGGAAAAGGTGCTGATGCATTATGCTCCTTGACTCACTTCGGGTGCCAGAAATTCCTGAGCCCCCACCTGAATGACACGCGATGTACTTGACCCTGTCACTGCCACACACTATCCACCCTGCCCCCAGTGTCTGACCACCAAGGCCATGCCCTATCTACCCCACCTTCAGATTTGCAACTCAATAAAAGTAAAGTGTCCTGTCCTGCATTTGGGGCCACTGCTGGTCTCCACGATCTGGGTAGCAGTGGAGACTGGGCCCAAACTCTCTTTTGTCTATCTCTGCGTCTTGTGTCTTTTATTTCTACAATTTCTTGTCTCCACAGCAGCCAAGAGGGGCTCACAGCACTCCGCAGGACTGGACCCTACAGGGACCTGGACCCCACCCTTCAGTGGTATGAGTGTCAGCATGACACTGTAAGAAGAGCAGGTGAGCTAGGGCAATGCAGTCTGCTACAGGTGCCCAAGTTCACCAGTCACAGCATCCCCTCGAGGTGGTTATGCTCTCCTGAAAGACGCAGGCATTCGAGTGAGTGAGCCACAGCCCCACTGCAGCTGGTCTGAGGCCATGATGGGTCACCATCCTCTGCCACTGGGCACCCCCGAGTCCCCACCCTCTGCCCTGCAGCCAGACACTGCTTACTGTGGAGCAGCCCAGGTGGTGCCAGTCAGCCTACCATGCCAGCCACCTCCTGGGTTCAAGTCTTTCTCGTATCTTAGCCTCCCAAGTAGCTGGGATTATAGACACCTAGCACCATGCCTGGCTATTTTTTTTTTTTTTTGAGATGGAGTCCTGCTGTCAGGCAGGCTGAAGCGCAGTGGCACCATCTCAGCTCACTGCAACCTCCACTTCCTGGGCTCAGACAATGCTCCTACCTCAGCCTCCGGAATAGCTGGGATTACAGGCAGTCACCACCATGGCCTGCTAACCTTTTCTTTGTGTTTTTAGTAGACATGGGGTTTTAACATGCTGGTCTTGAACT